AAAGAAAGAAATAAGAAGAAAGAAGAAAAAGAAGAAGAAAGAAAAAGAAGAAAGGAAAAAGAAGAAAGAAATAAAGAAGAAGAAAGAAGAAGAAGGAGAAGAAAGAAGAAGAAGGGGAAGAAGAAAGGAGGAGAAGAAGAAGAAAGAAGAAGTGGAAGAAAGAAGAGGAAGAAAGAAGGAGAATAAAAAAAAGGAAAAGGAAAAGAAGAAAAAGTAAAAAAGAAGACATTCTCGGCTCATTTTATTGAGTAAGTAAGTAAATTAAGGTCTTTTCTTGTTTAAACCTGTATTATGTATTCTAATGCCCATGGCTTACAGGCAAATATTGGGAAAACAGTGGCTCAATCTTAATAGTCATTTGATTCATTTGGTATTCAAAATGATGTCAAAAAAATTTATAAACATGATTCAAATTATAAAATCGTTACTCTACCAAACTGAATTATTGTTTAACTTCTTCAACAGATAAGATATATGTACATTTCAGAAGAATGTTGTTGGCACTTGGGCAGCCAAGTTAATTCAAATTTGGCGCCACGCTTGGAGCTTATTCATTATCGTGTGCATACAAATATAAAAAGTTTAGTTACAAGAACCTCTTACATTGCCACCACATGCTATCAGGCTAAGAACAAACCTGAAACCAATATAAGTATAACAAAAATGAAAGTAATGAATGACTTACTGATCTCTTGAGACATCTCCATCTCCATTAGGATATAATGCTTGAATATAAACACGACCCATCACTGCACGCTCAATAGCAGCTCTTGCTTGCTCTAGCTGGGTTTCACTGGCCGCTACAAAGAACTAGCATTTGTGAGTAAGACTCCTAGACCAACTATTCAGAATCATCTTGCATACTATTTATTGCATACCTTGCCATGTGGGATCCCTTTCCATTTCTATTGCCAATGTTTGTAAAAAGTTATCCAGCAAGTCAGTTTTTTCATCAGCAAGGGTAAGTTGTTGGAATTCTTCTTGAAACTGAAGCATCAATCCTTCACGCTTCTCCAAAAATAGCGTTACACACACCGCAATTAAAAATCTTGAACATACATTGTGATCTTTCTTCACACGTTCAGTCAATCTGCAAGAACGAAACCATACAGTACCCATTTGCATTAGCATCTGTCATCACTTTTAAATGCAGAAAATTATTCTAAATCAAATTCTTCCCACAAATTCAACTGCGCATTTCTCTTTGCATTGACAAGTTTGATATTATGATTTTATTTCATAAAACAATACGTTTACATATCTCTAACATCAGATGTACATTCACATTGCCACAAGTTAAACATAAAACAATAATTTCTTAACAGATAAAAATCTCTTCTAAAGGAAATACAAGCCTATCTTGCCTATAAATTTGAACACCTACAGTTCTCTAAAATTAGCCAAATTTAGAAAGAGGTTTGCCATACAAATGTAGCAGAAAAATACTTCTTGCAAGACACAGAACACATTTGTAAATAATTAATTATTAATCTCATGAAAAAAATAAAACAAAAACAAAACAAATGGCAACATTTTGAGAGAAATATAAATTGCGGGGACCCTGATCCTAAAAATGAGCTCCTGCTTCTTTTACTCTTTTCTTTTTCTTCTTCTTCTTCTTTAAAAAACATTTGTCTGTGAAGAATACTAGCACATAAACTATCCACAAATCACTCCAAAATGGCCATTTCTCCATTGATCTAACTACACATGAGGCCTGACCCTGCAATCAAATCCCTGTGGTTTTGCAAAGATATTTTATTTTATTGGGGATAATGAGTGAGGGTGGGGTCATTACACAAAGCCCTTACCACCTGTTACTGTTGCTATGTACCTTTGCAGAGAAATGCAAAGAAACCTTTTTGTACTTCTGCCTATTTAGCTCTTTAGCTATATTAACTTTCTAACCCGGCAACACTGGATTTCATTGCTTAGCAACTCTTGTTTCTTCAACTTAAATTTTTACATTTTTGTACATTTCATAAACAAGTTATTCTTCAGGAAAAAGTGCTCATATTTTTGACAGCACAACACAACCAGTGAGTCTGAAATCAAAAAAGTGGATATTTCTTGCTCCTAAGCATAAACAATTACTTTCTCATAAGCATAGTAAAGTCAATATACACATTTTGGTGAACCTTGATATCATTAAACTGTTTTTCATAAAATGTCTGGTTACTTTCGGTTACTCCAATACCACCCAGTTACTCCCAATTTCCTCAAGAAAATCACAAATTTGAGTTACAAGAGCAGCTTTGATGTCAAAATTTTGCGTGTATACCACAATCTTTAAAATAAGTCCAAAGACAAAAATCAAGTGGAGTAATGTCAGGAGATCTTGCTGGCCAGTTTTGAGGTCCACCACAACCTATCCATCTTTCTGGAAACATCATATGGGCATAGTTTTGTACAATTTTTTAAATATGAGGCGACGGTCCATTGTGCTGAAAATACGAGGAACGCAGTGGGAGAGGCATATCATCTAGATGGGAAGATAATTCATGTTCTAAGAACATCAAATCCATGTCTCCAGTTCACATTCCGTCCAAGAAGTAAGGAGCTACAATTTGATTTCCATCAATTCCACACCACACATTTAAGGAAATTCTATTTGGAATTGCCTTTCACACGTTGCATGAGAATTAGGAGGAGCCTGTAAATGACTATTTCTATAATTAATTATTCCACTTCTCATGAACTGTGCCTTGTCTGTGAATAACATGTCTTTGAAGTCTGTGAATAACAATATGAGGTCTTTGAAGAAGCCAAGTTCCAAACTACATACGCGATTCTCAGTTTTGTGGTTGTAGGTCTTGAACATTGCAAAGTTTGTAAGGATATAATCCTTCATTGTGAAAGAATTTTAATACTGTACTCTTCGCAACACACAAACGAGAATATACAGAATTTTAATACTGCACTCTTTGCAACACACAACCGAGAAGATACTCTTCTTACACAGTTTGACGAATTTTCTTCAGCTTCTATCACAACAAGGTCACTATTAAGTAGCTTATTACGTAGCTCAAGAAAGGCCGTGTTCAGAAGTCGTAGATAATGAACCAGTTTCTCACAACCTTCTGGTGTTAATAAATATGCGTTTATGAGGTACATTACGATTAGAATATAGTATGTGATATTCAAGTGCCGGTCTTTTTGAAATGCTGTCAAAAAAAAAACGTAAACAAATAATGTCTGCATAAACTTTATAAGACATCATTTGAAACACATGTACTCATATATGCAATAATGTGGACAAATTTCTGCTAATGTAAATATTAAGGACATGAGAGGCTAGTCAAACAATTACATTTTTGTAATTTTTGAATAAACAAAATAAAGAAAAATTACCTTTATGACATCTCATAGAGTCCATTTAGCACTATCCCAACCAAAAGTGTAAAGAAAAAAATTTAGAGCTGTTTTTGACAAAAAAAAAATACTGCACATACCGGACTGACCGGGGAATATCAATTTTGTTAAAATTCCTACGTATGGCTAAGGCAGATGGTAGGACATTTGCCGTCAATCGATTTTTCAGTATGAAGGGCTCTCAAAACATGAATTCTAGTTACACTGCATGTTACAGGATTTCTTTTTTAAATTAGCAATTGGATTTATCCTCTTTTTCATTATCAGGGCCTAGCAATAAGAATTTTTCTGCAGAAAATTCACCGTTTTTTCAGACAGTATTATAAAACTTTATCTTTAATGCGTAACTGATAGCAAGAAAGTAAAATCATTAACATGAAAGATACCACTAAACTGAATCAGAGAAAAATGAATACCACAAATCGGACCACTCCTTTAGCCTTTGCAAATCTCCATGAAGGTCCACTTGCTGCAATAGTGGGTTTCTATGCAACTTAGTATCATCAGCATAACAATTCCACTTTGATCTATTTCTTTTCCAAGGTCAGCCGTGTGAGACCTGAACACCACTTGTAACAGGTCTAGGCGAAGAGAGGGTGGAGCCTCCAACATGAGCTTAGAAGTTTTATCAGTTAGATAATCTTCAGTCCAGCAAAGTAATTTTCCTTTAATCCCTACAGCCCACAGCTTGCGCAGCAATCTCCTAGGCAGAACATTACAGAAAGCTTTAGCTAGGTAGATGAAGTCCGTGGGTTAACCTTATCAATCGCTCTAGCTCAGTCATTCAAATCACTACCTAGGTAGAAGGTTGTGGATCTGCCAGGTACAAAAGGCAGTGTTGTTGCCACAGAATAACCTCATTGATCATTGCATCGTTAAGCAGCTCACACACAATAACCCTTTCCATTACCTTGCCCATTGTGCTGGTCAGATTGATAGGACGATAGTTTCAAGACAGTTGTTTGTTCCATTTTTTAAAAATTGGGCTGACAGCACCTGGCTTCCACTGTTGCAGGACCTTGCCCACATCCAGTCAAACCAGATTTTTGTCACAGTAGGAGCAACCTGTGTGGCACATCTTTTCAGAAATACCATAGGGATGCCATCAGGTCCTGTATCTAAGATCTTATCAAGTCCACATAGCGTCTGAGCAACTGTGATCGGAAAGATATCCACGTTTTCAAGAGCGACAATACAGGTCTTCAACTCTTGGTAGGGGACCATCTGATTCAATGGTATAGACTACCTGAAAATAATCTGCATAAACTACTGTGATTCTTGTCTGGTCAGATATCAATTGGCAGGTGCGCATGTAAAAGAGGGTAAGTCAAGTTTTTATCCAAAACGAGTATGCCAGGACATTGCTTTACTACAATACTATCAATGTGTATATGGGAATAAGCGACACTTCAATTTTGTCAATAAAGCTTAATAGCAAAATTGAAATGTCACTTATTCCTCTATACACAATGATAATATTGTAGTAAAGCAATGTTTTAGCAAACTTGCTTTGGCCAAAAACTTGACTCATCCCCTTTTACTCACACACCCGCCAATTCACCTCATAAATTCAAATACATCTGCAAGCCAGTTTTGTTCGTAATTTGACTTCTAATATACAAGTACATTCACTTCTTTCCCTCCTACTCACTTGCCTACCCAATTTTATGATCTCGTTATTAATTCCTTGATAGATTCTGTAATCCTCATCCTTTCTGGTCCTTTTATCAGTAACATACGCTCTTCTCTTTGCTCTATTTATGTATCAATCCACGGTTTATTTACATTTTTCCTCACCTTAAAGCTTAACAAGTAAGCATTTAGTAATTGGGGTATCCATTCCCAGAGACTATCAGCATCACTGGACATCCTTCTTGATTCAAGATTTTATATCTGATTCCAGGTCTGTCTTTATCGAATCATAATCAGCTTTCAACCTTTCAAGCAGTAATTCAACATTTGTAGCCTCTGCCCTGGAACTGTATGGAATATTTCTAATTGCAAAAATAGAATCATCACTGTGTGGTCATGCAAACAATTTGGTCTCATCCTAGGTGGAGTAATAATACTTTCATCTGTCACGAGCAGCACATCTAATAGAGATGGATTCTGACCAGCTCTGATGCTCGTTGGGTTGGTTACCATCTGGATGAGATTAGTATCATTATAGATCCATAAGAATTTATGCTCCACTTCATTCCTGACAAGTACACCGTGCTTTGATCACATAATATGTGGAAAGTTAAAAACTCTGTATAGCCACCAGCTTATATTGATTACATGCTCTTTCAATAGTTTCAAAACGTATACCTTAAGTTGTTGTAAGAAGTCTGTGGTCTATATACCCCCACAATTATAATGTGACAACCCCTCGCAGAGAATTTTATAATCATCACACATAATAACCACAAATCTTCCACATCAGTATCTTTGAGTTGAGTCAGCCTAGTTATCGTAACAACTTCTGCTAAATGTAGACTGCCACTCCTCCTCTTCTGTCCTCTCTATCCTTTCTGTAACACTATACCTGTAACATTAGCAAGTCTGCAAAATCTGAATTGAACAATGTCTCTGTAAGGACAATGCTATCTGGTTTCTTCTAATCACCTCCAAGAGTGTGTTCACGTTTTCTTTCTTCATTCACATCCTTTTACCATTTTGATTGTCTGATCTGGTGTGTGTGTGTGTGT